TTTCATATACATTTAGAGGTTTATATTTGGTTGGGTTTTCTTTTTTCTCTTTGTTATAAACCAGGGGTGGGCAACTATGGCCCTTTTATGACTTGTGGACTTCAACTCCCAGAATTCCTGAGCCAGCCATGTTAGCTCAGGAATTCTGGGAATTGAAGTCCACAAGTCATAAAAGGGCCATAGTTGCCCACCTCTGTTATAAACAATACTATTATTATCTTCCAGGCATAGGGATTTGCCTTACTTGATCAATAAATGTAAATAGAAAGGCCAACAAAGGTGCCAGTTTCAGTTTAATTACTTTAGATAAGACAAAATCATTATTTGGAACATTTCCAGTTTTAAACAACTGTACATTTTCCACTTTGAAAATAATTGAAGCAACTATCCAATGTGCTGAAGTAATAATCACTAGAATTGTGCCAATGGAAGAAAAGAAAGTGCTTTGTTATAGGCCTAGGAATAGAGGTATCTAAGATGGATTGTTCTATCCCTCCACAAATTGAATTTTCGGTTTTATTATCCAGAGCTGATAAGAAATTATATCTCTTAAGCTTATATGAAATGATATCTCTTGCTTTGGCTCTACTTTACTTACCAAATTCTTGGGATATTTTAGAGCTTCCTAACATTGTGTAATATTGTAAGTTTCTATTGTCAGAACTTGAATATAGAACATGCTTAAAACATCTACTAGAATTAGTGTAATCACATCTATAGCAATTAGCTCATAACTAAAGCTCCATATTCTGTTTCTTGGCAAAGATCTTGGCAGAGGGATCTTTTATTAATTAAATTAATAATACTAACAAAATCATTCCTAATGTAAGATCCTTCTGTCAAACTCACTATTGAATGGTCAGCTAGTTTTTCCTGCTTTCCTTATCAGAGTTTACAGATGTTTTTATGTAAAAAATGTCCTTTTAAAGTCACTTCCATATTGAAATTGCTGCATGTTGAAAGTTGGAGATTATCTAATCAGTTAGAGGTACTGTTGATGCACAAACTGCTAGCAGTGGTTGCCTAAGCATATCCAAATGTTTAATTAGGTTCTCCTGGTCACATCTTGGTAGCGCTCCAAAAGACTCAACTAGCTTTGCTCTTTCTTCTAAATGCCTCTTACGTCACATTGTACATTAATGTTTATTTAAGCAGTCCTCCAGAAGTCCCTATGGGTGATTGTATCTGATGTATCAAATTTAGACTTTAAAGTATTCACTGTTATAGGTGGCAAATTTATCAAGACTGTCCACTGGTCTTTCATGAAAACTCAAATTGAAAAGACTGCAAAGTATGTGGGGAGCATTTCATCTTAAATAGCATACAGGGATTTGTGGGGGAGTTTTGTTTCTTTTCAGATTCCACCTGGCAGCCATTCACATTTCAACAAAGATCATCAAATATACAGTACAATACACAGTGGAGTTGTCTCTTAAAAAAAAGATGATAGGTTGTTTTGTTCTCTGTCGACCATTATTAATATATTGTTAGATATAATTTGCAAAACAATCTGATTTGACTGTAGGTAAAGTTTGGATTCATTCTCCCTGTCTACAGCAACCTGATTGATATACTTTTCTCTTCAGGGCTTTTCTGTCTGTTTAATGAGGAGAAAGGGCAGCCTCTCTCTAAGCAGATATCTTTCCACTTGGAAAATGAATTTCAACAATGTCTATCAGTTGATCTGGATGGATGGCTGTAAATACAGAAAATACTATAAATAAAGTTATATCTTCCCTTTAATTCTGATAAATATTAAGAGATAGAAATAACTGTACAGGTGTAGATGCTCTCTGGATAGAAAATTAATCAGGTTCCTGCTTTTTAAGTCCACATTCCCTTGGTCTTCCAAAGAAACTGGAATAGAATAGAATAGAATAGAATAGAATAGAATAGAATAGAATAGAATAGGAATTCTTTATTGGCCAAGTGTGATTGGACACACAAGGAATTTGTCTTGGTGCATATGCTCTCAGTGTACATAAAAGAAAAGATACGTTCATCAAGAATCATAAGGTACAACACTTAATGATAGTCATAGGGAACAAATAAGCAATCAAATCATATTAGGAAACAGTCAGTATAAATTGTAAGGATGCCAGCAACAAGGTTACAATCATACAGTAATAAGTGGGAGGAGATGGGTGATAGGAATTGCCTCACATAAGAATAAACCCTTCTTGAGAACCAGACAGAAATGGAGTCTGACTGTACAACATCAACCCTTAAAAACAAACATATATATATATATATATATATAAAGCCACAGTTGAGAAGACAGCAACAAATAACAAATGTCAGTGTTGGTGTTCTTCTGATATAAGGGCTGCTGACCACACAAAGCCCTTATAAGCAGAAGAACATCAACGTTGACATTCCCTAAATTCTGCTGAAAATGTCACCTAGCCTGATAACGAAATGTTCGGAAACCAAACCACAAACATTGGAATATCTTCAAGAAATACCATTTATTTGCAATCAAGATCTAATGTGGCCACAAAATAGATAAAGTAATAGAAAAATGAAGAAGTTAAAGTGCTCTTGGATTTTAGAATTCAGACAGATGTGCACCTGCCACATAACATCCCAGACGGTTGACAAATGGGATACTGGAAAGAAAGATATTTTATTAAACTTATTTCTTGCTGTTAAGATCTATGTGGAAGACAATGGAACAGACTCAAATATACATTTTTGTTATTAAAAAAAGAAAATATAATAATACAAATGTGTTTCCGGGGGATTGGTATAAAAGTATAGGAAGTGGCAAACTGGTAGCAGAAGATAAAAAAGAAAGCTTTCTTAAAAGTCTTCTATCATCTATAGAATATATTGAAAAGGGAGAGGGGATGAGTCTGGACCACCATATAATGAAATAGTTTCAAAATAAAATAACTATAATCCTGCAAGCTCTAGGAGACATTTTTATGGTTTTTTGTTAGAACAATTTGCTATAATCAGCCTTTGTACTGTAGGTTTTGAGAAACCTCCTCTCATTTCCATCATAACAAACCTCCTTAGTCTTTCAGATACAAAGGCCATGTTCCTTTGGAATATGAAGCAACTCTTTCTAGGGAAAGCAGTTTCTCCTCACTGTCCGTCCCACCCCACCCCACCCCCGGATTACAGGAATCTAATGGCATGACAGCTGTATGCTAGGACAGGCATCTCTTTCCTGTCGAGGAAAATAAAGCTAGGTAGACACATGAATGATAAATAGTTGGACTTGAGAAACTGCAGTTATAGTACTACCAACAAAGGCAGCAAACCCTCAAGCAAATATTGATTAGATTTCACTTACTAAAACACACAGGGATTCACAAATAAAAAGAATGATGTATTTGTATGGGAAGCAAAAGAAGATTCTCCCCCCCCCCCCCAAAAAAAAGTACTTGACTGTTAGATAGATTAGCCCATTAGGTGGGAAACCATCCTTGACTGGATTAGCAGATGACTAGGAGTATTGATAACAATGATCTGATAAAGATAATTGGCCAAATGTCTCTTGGACAGCAATGTCTCATCACAGCAAAGTGTTCAGCAATAATAGGCTCCATTAAGGTTAACATTCCTTTCCTTAATTCTCAGAATATGTTATTTGGTTAGAATAAGATTCATAGAATAACTTTTTTTAAACAATGCATATCTTTTAATGCCTATAATTTAGAGTTCAACATTTAACTAGCTGTTTCTAGAATTAGAATGAGAAATAGAAAGGTATTCCTTTTAGAAATCTAAGCCTTAAAATTCAATCAGTTATTGTTACTGTTCTTGTTATTAATTTCAAAGAAATAATAAAGCAAAACAAATTGAAAGCAGACACATTAATGAAATAGTATACCACGCCAAGATAATTTAAAAGATTTACAATACCACCATATGCTGACTCTAAACCACTTAGAGAGTGCTGAAAAAGCACTATGAAGCGGTATATAACTCTTAAGTGCTATTGCTATTACTATATCCTGTGCAAGGGTCACAACTAACTCTGGCCCTGGGCCTGCTGGAAAACATGTATATAGTATAACTTTAGAAAAGGGGTTAATCTGCAATAGTTAAGGCAAGTTACAAACACAATTTATTTTATTTATTTATTTTGTCGAGCATGTATTAGATAACAGATATAAGTATAAACATTATTATGAATACATGAAATGGATACGTATAAAAGGGGACATTAGGACAGGGATGGTAGGCATGTTGGTGCGCTTATGCACGCCCCTTACAGACCTCTTAGGAATGGGGTGAGGTCAACAAGTCTAAGGTTAAAATTTTGGAGGTTTGGGGAAGAAACCACAGAGTCAGGTAGTGCAGTCCAGGCATTGACCACTCTGTTGCTGAAGTCGTATTTTCTGCAATCGAGTTTGGAGCGGTTTACCTTTAGTTTGTATATATTGAATATTGGGTCTGTACAGTGTTTCATTAAGTGCATCACTCAGCCTTTTTCTCAGTCACGGAGGAAACGCCGGTCACTAAAGGGTTACAACCAAGCCAGTAGCTCTAGGACCGAGTCCACCAACAAAAGAAGCCCCGCCTCTTCCTGTATCCAGTTTTTAGACTCGGTCCGGTAGAGGACAGTCGTGTCTGTTAGTTCTCTCTCTCATTAACTCTTTGTGGGGGAGTTATTTGCCATTGCTGGCTTATTTCTACTTAGTTTGCTCCTTTCTGCTCAAATTGCTGGAGTTTTCTTCAAAAGTGGCTAAACTTTATTGGAATCAGCTGGGGAGTGCTAGAAACGCTCCAGTGGCCCTGAGCAGCCCTGCAGCAACGCCCACGTGCGTTTTGCATCGCCCTATCTTTTGCAGCACTTTCAAAGGATTTTGGAGGCTTCTGGAGAGGTTTCCCTGCCTCCTGCTGCTGTTTAGAGAATTGTGGCTGCAGATTTCTGGCGCGAAGGCTTTTCCATGCCCAATTTTGCCACGCTGTTAAGCCCTTTGGCTAGTGGCTATTTCCTGCCTCCTGAGTAATCTTCCTGGCTCCTGGATTCTGCTTCTCTCCTGGCGCAGTGAGTTACCTGAACCTCCAATTATTCCCTGTGGGTGCATTTAAGGGTGATTTCTATCCTTTGCATTTATTCTGAGCTGCAAAAGTAAATTTCTGCTTTATCATGGCTGATGCTAGGAGCAATAAATCCCAAAGCAAAGGAAAAAGGGGGCATTCTTCTGATCCTAAAGAAAGTTCCTCAGGGGATTCTGTTCCTCCCAAGGCAGCCAGAGTTTCTACTAGATCCACTCACTCCAAGAGTGCTAATATTGCTACATCATCAAGAGAAGAGACCAGGAGGCATAAGGCCATGGAAAAGGCCTTTCAAAAAGCTGCTTCAGAGGCCTCTAGAGTTTCATCTCCTTCTGTGGGGCCTTCTAAATCTCCTGCCCTCCCCACTTCCAATGTGGCTGTTCCTTCTTCCCAAATTCAAATTGAACATGATTTTTCTCCTGATCAGTCTACTCTGGGTGAGAATGTAGCTGCTGATGCTTCTTCAGTTTTTCCTGCTGCTAGGCCTCTATCTCCAATTGTTTCTATTCAGGCCCCCCCAAGGCAAGAATTTCCTGAGGCTCAAGCCCAAACCTGCATTCAGGGGTCTGAGGCTCCTGTAAATTTAACTCCTGCCCTAGCTGAACTTGTTTCTGTTTCAATTAGGCAGGGTATTGCTGAAGGCCTTCAGCAAAGGGCCTCTTCTGAGGCCTCCAGTTATGTGAGTCAGCAGAGTCGTTCTGTGAGGGCCCAGATGGTTGCTGATCCTGTGCAATGTGAAGAAAGGGCGGATTCCCCGGAAAATGCAAGTCAAGGTTCCCTGTCTGAGGGGGAAATTGCCCCTGATCAAGATCTCTCGGAGGATGAAGGCCTTGAACCAGACCAGCCTTCCTTCATTGGTCTCTTCAAGCCTCAATTATTCAGATCCCTTCTATTTAAAGCTCAAAATGTTACTGGCCTGGGAATTTCTTCTACTCCTTCCTCTCAAGGGGCTTCTACACCATCTTCTCAGCATCCCTCTTCATCATTATTATTTCAGGAACCTTCCATTCGTGCAGAGGTCGTTCCAGCTCCCAAGCTGTTTTCTGATGTCGTTCAAAGACAGTGGTCTTCTCCTAGTTCTGGCCCGGTTCCCAATGGTCTAGATAAAAGATTTTATAATATGGCATCTGATTTTGCTAATATTCTTCAAGTTCCTTCTGTAGATGCTCCCGTCGTCGCCCTCTCTTCTGCATCTCCTCTTACTGGTCCGTCAGAGGAATTCCTGCGCCCTGAAGATAAGAAGTTGGAACGCTCCTTGGTCAAGGACCACCAGGCCTCTGCTTGGTCAATTCAGGCCTCCTCGGCAGCTTCCTTTTTTAACAGGGCCTCCATCCTTTGGCTTCGCCAATTACAGGAAAGGCTGCCTCCTTCTGATATGCGATCTCACCAGGACATCAACAAGATCCTAGCTGCTGTTGAGTTCTCTGCTGATGCTACTCTGAATGCGGCAAGATTTTCAGCTAAGGCTATCGGGGCTTCAGTCACTTCTCGTAGGCTCCTGTGGCTTCGTCAGTGGCAGGCAGATGTTCGGAACAAGTGGAGACTGGCTTCAGCTCCTTTCTCGGGGAACTATCTCTTCGGCCCAGCCTTGGACCAACTCCTCATCGAGACGAAGGATCATCGCAAGATTCTGCCTGCCTTATCGAGAAGATCTGATCCTCGTCAGCAGGGTTCCTTTCGAGGCCATTCCTTTCGCTCCGACTTCTCTTCCTTCCAGTCCAGGCCTCAGCGGTACCCTCAGCCCAGGGGCGGACAACAGCAGGATTTCCAGGTCAGGCAGGGGTCCCGTTTCCCTCCCCGCAGACCCTTCAGGGGGGGTAGGGGGCGTCCCTTTCGCAGGTCCCGTTAGTTCTCCTTTTCCTATCTCTGACTCCTTAATTGGAGGTAGGTTAGCATTTTTTGCTGACCAATGGGATTGTTCAGTTTCAGACCCCTGGATTAGACGTACTATTAGGTTTGGGTTGACCCTTGAGTTCTCTTCTGTTCCCCCTGACTTGTTTGTCAGGTGCCCTGTCTCTCATGTCAGGTCCAAGAGGGTTCTGCTAGATGAGGCTATTCAACACCTTTTGGAGATTAGGGCTGTTCAATGTGTTCCCCTAGGGGAAGTTGGCCAGGGATTCTATTCCCGTTTGTTTCTAGTTCCCAAGGCTTCAGGAGGCTGGAGGGCCATATTGGATCTTAAATCCTTGAACCGATATATAGTCTATCGTCGGTTCAAGATGGAATCCCTCCAGACCATTCTCCTTTCGATCCGTCCAGGTGATTTTTTGTCTTCCATCGATTTGACGGAGGCTTATCTCCATGTGCCCATTTTTCCGGACCATCGGAAATACCTCCGTTTTTGTTATCGGGGTAGGCATTATCAGTATAGAGCCCTTCCCTTTGGCCTTTCCTCAGCTCCTAGGGTCTTTACAAAGATCATGGCTGCCTTATCGGGCCATATGAGATCTTTTCCTGTTAGAGTTTTGTTTTATCTAGATGATTTTCTTATTTTGTCTAGTTCTGAGGTTAGGGGTAATGAGGATATTCAGGTCACGCTTCAGACCCTGCATTCCCATGGTTTTTTGGTTAATCGTTCTAAAAGCAATCTAGTTCCCTCCACGTGCATTCAGCATTTAGGGGCTGTTATTGATTCTGTCAGGTTGCAGGTTTCCCTTTCTCAGGATCGTCAGGACAGCATTGTTGAGCTGGTAGGTCAGGTTAAGGCCTCTCGCTCTTTTTCCCTCCTGGGGCTTTCCCGCTTGCTAGGGAAAATGGTTTCTGCCTTCGGGATCACTCCCTGGTCTCGGTTTCATAGCCGGGAACTTCAATGGTTTTTACTTCCGTTTCAACGGTCTCGCAGGAGCACGTCAGAGGCCAGAGTCCCCTTGACTCCTCAAGTTCTCCGGTCCTTGGCATGGTGGACCTCTCCGGCTCTTGCTCAGGGATGCCTGTTCAGAGTGCCTCAACGCGTGAGCATCACCACGGACGCGAGCCTCTTCGGATGGGGGGCTCACCTGGGGTCTCAGCTGGCCCAAGGGCAGTGGTCGGTCCAGGAGAGGGGACTTCACATCAACATCTTGGAGCTCAGAGCCATCTTCCGAGCTCTTCGCAAGTTCGCTCCTCTCCTTCGAGGTCTGGATGTCTTGATCAGAACAGACAACGTAGCTGCCAAGGCCCACATCAACCGGCAAGGAGGGACCCTCTCCAAGGCTCTCATGAGGGAGGCATCTCGTCTCTTCAGGTGGGCGGAGAGTCACTTGGCATCCATCCACGCCTCTCACATCTCAGGGTCAGCAAATGTTCAGGCGGACGCTCTCAGTCGATCGGTGGTGGACCAGACGGAGTGGAGCCTCGATCCATTTCTGTTCCAGGACATCGTGCATCGCTTCGGCCTTCCAGCAGTGGACCTCTTCGCGTCCGAATCCAACCACCAGCTTCCGAGGTTTTACACGAGATTCCTGTCCCGGGAGCCGAAGCTGTGGACGCCTTGATCAGCCCGTGGCCTTGTGGTCTTCTTCTCTATGCTTTCCCACCTCTTCCCCTCATCTCCAGGGTCATCAGGAAGCTGTTGCAGGAACAAGCCGAGCTCATCCTTCTGTCTCCCTTCTGGCCCAGACAACCGTGGTTTGCGGATCTGATGGCTCTCTCTGTTGCTCCCCATTGGCAGATCCCGGCCGACAAAATATCTCTGTGGCAGGGCCGTCTAGCTCATCCAGACCCTCAGTGGTTCCGGCTGACCGTCTGGAGGTTGAGCGGTTCCTCCTGCCCTCAGCCAGGGTGCCTTCGGAAATAATTTCTATGATCCAGGCCTCCCGTCGAGGATCAACGAACCGTATTTACAATGCCACTTGGATGGCCTTCTCTGCCTGGTGTCGCCGTAAGAAGGTCCTTCCTACTGCTGCTTCCATTCTTGACATCCTGGGCTTCCTTCACGATGGATTCATTTCGGGGCTTTCTCCCAATACCCTCCGGAGGCAAATCTCTGCCATCTCATCTATCCTCACCTGCGGCACCGCTGAGTCGGTGTCCACTCATCCTCTCATCCGTTCATTCCTCAGAGGCGCAACCAATCTACGTCCTCTGGCTGTTCATCGGTTTCCCACCTGGGACCTGAATAAGGTTCTGTTAGCTCTTACTGGTCCTCCTTTTGAACCTCTCCGGGAAGTCTTGCTGAAGTTCTTGTCTTTTAAGGCAGCCTTTCTAGTGGCTATCACCTCGGCTAGAAGGATCTCGGAGTTGGCTGCCCTCTCAGTTCGCCAGGATCTCTGTATTATTCATCCTGATCGAGTAATTTTGAGATTGGATCCAGCTTTTATTCCAAAGATCAATTCAACTTTTCATCGTTCTCAAGAGATCATTCTTCCCAACTTCTGTCCTTTCCCCCGTCATCGCTTGGAGACTGTGTGGCACAAGCTTGATGTTCGTCGGGCTCTCAAGATTTATATCTCCAGGACTTCTTCCTTTCGTCGCTCCGAGGCTCTCTTTGTGTCTTTCCAACCCCAGTCCATGGGGTCAAAGGTTTCTTCTACTACCTTGGGTCGATGGCTCAGGGCTTCCATTTCTTTAGCTTACGAAGTTCAATCGTTGCCAGTGCCTCGTGGTGTTACAGCCCACTCTACCAGGAGCGCGGCTACTTCGGCTGCCTGGTCTACCCAAGCTTCACTCGAGGAGGTCTGCCGAGCCGCTACTTGGACGTCTCCATCTCCATTTATCCGGCATTACCGGTTGGATGTTTATGCATCGGCGGAAGCCTCCTTTGGAAGACGTGTGCTGCAGCGGGTATCTTCCCAGGACCAGGAGAGGCGCCGGCCTTCTCCCTCCCAATAGGTACACGGGCTTTGGTATATCCCTTTAGTGACCGGCGTTTCCTCCGTGACTGAGAATGAGCGTTGGTCTTACCTGATACGCCACTTCTAGTCACTAGGAAACGCCGGTCGCCCCCTCCCAATTGGTCCGGCACCTCTCGTGCTGGCTTTTGGCTGTTGACAGAGGGGGGTGGGTCCTGGGGATTTTTTACCTTTCCTTTATTTTTCTACAGACACGACAGTCTACCTTTCGTCCTCGTCTCAAACTGGATACAGGAAGAGGCGGGGCTTCTTTTGTTGGTGGACTCGGTCCTAGAGCTACTGGCTTGGTTGTAACCCTTTAGTGACCGGCGTTTCCTAGTGACTAGAAGTGGCGTATCAGGTAAGACCAACGCTCAATCTATTCTGGATAATCTCTCATCTTCCCTACTGACGTACTTTGATTATGTCAGTGCTTCAAGACATAGTTCTTCCAAGTATAACTTTAAAACCTGGATCTTTGCAATAATTATTTCAGACTGATAAATATAATATGGAAGATCCTCCTCTTGTTTTGGAAAATAATTGCCTAAACTTTATTCTATTTTACTATTTTAGAGTTTATAGGAAGCATACTAAAGTGTCAGAATAATTTAAATTTTCTTTAGACTTTTGAATGATGTAACTCTTAAAGCATTATTTATGTATTTTTATTGAACATTTTAATCACAATAACAAATTACCAGTCAATTAGCATAGGTGACCCCCAGAGCTGTGTTCTCTCTCCATTGTTCTTCTCTCTCTACACCAATGACTGCATCTTTAAGGATCCCTCTGTTAAAATACTGAAGTTTGCAGATGATACAATAGTCACTGGTCTATTTTCAGACTGTGATGAGTCTGCATATACTGTAAATGGGAAGATGAACAACTGGCCCTTTGGTGCAGTCAGAACAATCTGCCTGTCCCAAGTCCTTGGGAAGGACTTGATAGGTGGGTAAAAATGCCAAATTCAATGTAAACATCTGGTTGACTGTACAATGAATCATAATAATAACAATAATTACATATTTATTCTTCCACATGAATGCACTGTGAAAATGTGTGTTCTGAACATTAAAGGAATACTTCTTCATTCTTTTTTAAATAATGACTTAACCTTGAGAAGCCTAAATTTGCTTAAAAGCTATGAATGTCCTGATAATAGATTTTACAATAGAAGTTGTTTCTTTTTCCATAGTAGCCTTGAAAAGAAAAAAGGAATCACAACAATCAATGCCATCTGTTTTGTGGAATAGTTAAAAGCAAAGGTTCCTATTGTTTCTCCTTCTTCTCCATTGTGGGTGAAGACAGCAGCCAGGCATGGGTTGTACTTGTCTATTCAGATTGATGGACTGAGTCTGTCAACGTTGTTAAGTCCCGCCCTTGTTGCTAGGGGCTTCCAGCTTTTGACTCAGTCTGTCAGACTGGACAGTCGTGTGGGACTGTGTCTCTGGCCACTTTTCTTTTCAAATGGAAAATATTCATCTTCATCTATTTGGTTTTGATCTCTGGACTTCCTTTGACTATTATTCTGTGAATTTGGACGGATTGGTTTTTCTATTTACCTCAGCAGCTGGCTTGTCTGGCTGGCTGTGTGGATTTCAACTCCTCGCTGCTTGGAATACGTCTACCCTTGGACTGGTCAGTAAGAAGGGGTTTTTGGTGGAATCTTGCGCTCCTGGGTGGGGGCAGGAGCTGACCTGGCCGACGGAGTTTCACGCTCCTAATTTTGGCCAACTTGCTGTGGAGCTTTGTGTTCCCGTCAGGATTGTCCAGCGGCCATTTTAATTTCTCCCGACAGTTCAAGTTGCCGTTTGGTGGAGTTTCATGCTCCCTATTGATAGTGCTCAATCGATCTTGACAGTGGAGCGTGCAGATCGCTCTCAATCCGATTTTGAGGCTTGACGGCTCAGCGCTCAAGCCTCCAACTCGAAGGGCGGCTTGAAGACATTTGAAGAGCTTTCGCACTCCCTGCCTGACAGCAAGCTCATGCCTGCCATTTTGTGTGCCGCATGATTGATCTTGAGGTGTGAGCGCTTTATTTGGGCCTCCAGGAAGCAGCCTGTGCCTTGGAGGTGTTTGCCTCTTACTTGATCGGCCGAAGTCAGCAGCTCAGGCAATTAGGACCATTTCAAGCCTTGCCTTACTGAAGGTCCTTTAGCGGCACTTGATAAACAGTAGAGGCTTGTCTTTGACAGCCCAGATTCTTAGCAGCTGACTGGCTCGTCATACCCCTCGGAACTTTGATCATTGTTATAGTCTCTGCAACCTTGTTGTCGATGGCCATTTTGTGCTCCTTTAGAGCCTACCCTACCTTTTGGCCATTTTGTCTTTTGGCCTAATACTGAGAGACTGTATCAGAGAAGCACCCTAAGGCCCATTATGCCTAAAGCATTGGCCAAGACCAAACATGGCCGGAAGGCCATGGTCCAGGAACCATCCTCCTCCATGCAGGGAGAGTCTGGTTCAAAAGATGTTCAGGGTGCAATCCCTTAGGGCAAGGTCTCGGGCACCATGGACTCCCACTTGCATCACAAGGGTGCCAAACATTCCTCCGCCTCCTCTCGAGTGGAGAAACGCCGGGACAAAGTTCTAAAGAAGCTGTGTGATAAGGCCAGCAGCCATCGTAGTTTGCCGCCTGTCGGTGGTACCAGTGCTATTCCTTCTGATGTCATGGACCAGGGTCCGGCAGTAACACCGGATCAGATGTCCCTTCATAGCCTGAATAGTCAGGCTTCTGACTTGTGGGGGTCTGCCCCTCTCCCTTCTTCAGGGGCTTCCACAGAGGGGACAGCGCCCGCTACATCTTCTGCTCCGGTCCGAGCTTCTGCGGAAGCCGGCCCAGCTCCAGTCCACGCTCAGTGTTGTTTGCAGCCTGAGGACATCCAACAGATGATCGCTGCAGCGGTACAACAATCTTTGTCAGCCCGTTTCCTTTTGCAAGGCAGGCCTACTTCAGTGCGATCGGCCCACTCTGGGTCCCCTGACCGGGACTACAGCATGGACTCTTTATTGGTTGCCGGATCTAATTCTCCAGCCCACTCCTCTGTCAGCCATGTTTCAGCTCCCGGAGAGGTTGATCAGCAAGAGCCGGACTTGTCGGAAGATGAGGGACTTCCTCCGGAATAACCGGCCTTCACGGGTTTCCTTAAGCCATTTTTAAATCTCTCTTGTTTAAAGTAATAAATGCGGCCCAGCTCGGGTCCAGCCCTCCAGTACCTACCCCTTCTGCGGCCCCTGGATTGCTAAATCCCTTGTTTGCTGAGCCGGATAAACAAGTGACTGCTATTCCCACTCCACCTCTCTTCCTTAACGTAATCAAAAAGCAGTGGGCTTCACCTGGGGGAGCTCCTGTCCCTATGGCTACAGATCAAAGGAACTTTAATGTGGCACCGGACTTGGCTTCTCTCCTGCAGGTGCCTAGAATCAATCCTCCTATTGTCGCTCTATTACCTAATGCATCTGTCCCTGGGGAGCCGGAAGAAGGTCTCCATCCTGAGGAATGCCGGGTGGATCAGGTGCTTCAGCGGGCACATCTGGCAGCATCTTGTTCCATCAGATTGGCCACCACCGCTTCATTCTTCAATCGATCCACTTTGCTATGGTTAAGGCAGCTTCTGGACAAGCTCTCCCCTGAGGACACGCAGTTGAAGCAAGACCTGAATAAAATCATCACTGCGGTGCAATTCTCGGCAGATGCTACCCTAAACGCTGCTCATTTCACCTCTAAATCGCTGGCCTCCTCTATTGCTGCCCGTCGCCTAGTTTGGCTCCGCCATTGGCAAGCAGACGCTAGACACAAATGGTGTCTGGCATCTGTTCCCTTTATGGGAGACAAAATGTTTGGGGACCCATTAGAACCTTTCCTTGTGGAAACCAAGGACAGATGGAAGGTTTTACCTACGGTCTTCCGTAGGGGAGAGTCCCATTTTTCACTGTACATTCCTTGGCCCCAGTTTCAGCCATTGGACGGGGG